CTTAGCGGTTAGACCATTGACCACGCGTCCTCGAGAGGACGGAGCATTGTTCCCACAGCACCTCTCGGGGGATGACGGGGGATGGGGGGGTGCTATCCAGAGTATTTGCTTCTGCCCTTGAACATAATGTTACCCTGGCCTATCCTATTCTCTCACCTCGGTGGGGAGGTTGTATCCCTGATACCAGGCGTTCTTCCACCCTCCGTACATGGGAAACCGTGACAACAGGGATAGTTCCACGCCCCCAAGGTTGTGCCGTACCGTAGACGTCGAGATGTTGCCGATGTTATCCCGGTAGTAGATGTCGCTTTCGTGTGGTTGGCATCAAAAACGTATAGGTAGAAGGGGGACGTGTGGCTCATTAACAAAATGCCGTGCGAGACCACCGCTACATATAAGCTGCTGGAACGAATGGCGGTGTTGGTGGGCGAACAAACAATTGTTGGTGAGGTGCGGTGGAGAAGCGGGATTCCCTCTCGTTTGGGGTACTGCGGGGACCCTATGGGGCACGTTGTTGGTAGGTTGGTAGGTCAACGATGGCACCAGCAGGGCATCACGCTCTCCTTTCACCCTAACCCTACTCCTTGCTCCAAATATATGCAAGGACCTAGGGTCATATTTTTCTCTGCGATTCTGACAACGAGCTGTACGCCCCACGATGAAGCGGACAGCAAATTGTTAGGGCCGCAGAGAAAAGGCTGGCACGGGACTTCACATGCATTAGGACATAAAGTAGAGCAGAGAGAGAGGAAAGCTTGGCGCCATTTCGGGGGGGGAGGGAGGNGGGGGGGGGGGGGGGGGGGGGGGGGGGGGGGGGGGGGGGGGGGGGGGGGGGGGGGGGGGTGTCCTACCCTCGCACCACATACCCACGTAGCACGCGCAGATCAGTGGCGAGTGTCTGGTACCCAAACGCCTCTCACCTCCTTTGCGACACTCTGTATGAAACACGCACACACACAGCTGTATCGCGTTTCACAGCACCAAACAAACAAGAATAAACAATTAACCCTACCTCACAAAGCAAAGCCGAAGCCTCTCGGCCACGACAACGGCAGGAAACAGACTCAACGGGTGACCGTGTCGCCTCTTTCTACAAACTTCACGGGAGCGCGAAAAACCACGCTCTCTTTAATGCATGCCCCCATTCACGAACACCTCTTAATAGTAGGGGTAGGGGATGGTGAGGAGGTGACTCATATTTTGCATGCCTTAGCGGCTGGACCATTGACCACGCGTTCGTCCTACAGAAGACGGAGCGTTGTTCCCACGGGACCCATCACCGATGGTCAATCTTCCTACTGTGCCAAAAGTGTCTCAAAAATGCTTCCCGTACAACCCCATCTTTCCTGTCGATCCCTATCTATCCTATCGATATCACTTCCCGCCTTTTCAGCCTACTTCCTATGCCCCATTATGCCCCAGTTTCGCTGCCGTCTTCTCCTGCTATCCCATGATGGGGCTGTGATACGTACCTTGCACCCGCGGGTAGGTAGGCATCAAGCTTCCGGAAGGAAGGGTTCGGCAACTCCGCGTGCTTCTTAGCCATGTAGTCCATGCGAGAGAAACCGCCCTTCATCTTCGCACCAGCGTGCACCTAGCCCAGCAATGGACAAAAGAGGGTATGGTTGCAGAAGAGAATGAATGACTACACGATGGACCAAAACCGTATGATAAGAAGAGAGAATGAGTCACCACACGACGGACAAAAGGGGGCATGATAGCAGAAGAAAAGGAGTGACTACACGATGGACAAACTAAGGTATGACACCAGAGGAGAAGGAGTGACTGCACGATGGACAAACTAAGGTATGATAGCAGAGGAGAAGGAGTGACTGCACGATGAGCAAAAGGGAGTATCTATGAGCAGAAGAGAAGGAGTGACCACATGATGGACCAACGGGGATATCATAGCACAAGAAGAATGAAATGACCGTTACAGGTTAATCACGGCCCGAGAGCAGATCGAGCAGGACAGCCAGGACGCGGGATGACCGTCACCATAGCTCTCACTATTGGCCCGGGGAAAACGCCGGCATTCAGCAGTCGTGGCCGCGCGCATCTCTAAACAATCAACACCACATCAAACGACTGCCGCAGATGGGTACATACCCGAGTGACTGACTCACCAAGTCGTAGTGTTCTTCCACGGCGATGTTACCCCAGTTGGAAACCTCGATCTCGCGCAGGCAGGAGGTCGCCTTGGCGAAAGCTGCGTGGTTCACCTGAAAGACAAGAAAAAGTGAAGTTGAAAGAAAAGAGGCGTGAAACATGCATACACGAGAAAGAGAGGGAGAGAGAGAGAGTCGGGGGGGGGGAGAGACAGAGACAGAAAGAGGGAGGGGGGGAAGAGACAGGAGTGAATTGAATCTGCTGCTGTCCAACTCAACAGCGCCGACTTCTCGTACAAGAGCACGCCCCCGGAACAAGGAGGGACACTGTACCCAGTGGTATGCGGCATTGCCGCCGCAGAGGTGCTCGTGCCGAAACAATGCTTTCACCGCTGCAAGCGCTGATGCCCAACACCTCTAGACAAGTATACCAGGTAACATGCAAAATACTTCCCTCTGGGCGAAAACCCATGGCCAATTCGCGGGAAAAGGGGCCAAGACATCCCGTGTAATTTAAAAGCCATGGCCGCGCGATAGCATGCGCAACTTTTGAGCTCGCGCCTGTGAATTCTGATTTTTTCTCTCGCCTCCAAAAGCCGCAAGCGACCCGTAAACGCAATCTCCTTCTTGCCAAACACGCACCCTCCCCAACAACGAAGGGCGGGCCAAAACCACCACGCCACACCCTAAATAGCGGGGCACCCTACATGCACGGGGAACTCACGTAGTGGATTCGCAGCTCGCCCCCGTTGGCAAACGGCGGCACGTCCTCGAAGGGGCCGTACGTCACCTGGTCCGACTTGACTGACCTCTTGTTCGGCGCCTCTGTCATGCTCAGAATCTTGGGCGACAAAGAGTGATGGAAGACGCGCGCCGCAAAAAAACATGAGGGTGGGTACAGCATCAATAACCGCGACGTTAAGCAGTGTGTGTGGGGGCAACTTGTGCCAGTTGACCATTTAGCGCTGATGAAACCACCGGGTAACACAGGATAACATTCCCCTCGCGCTCAAGCACAGCAGTGGGGGATGCCCACAGCAGCCCACTCCCCTGACCCCCCGACTCAAAATTGGGTGGCCTTAAAGAAAGAAAAACAAAAAGTGGACGTACAGTTACGCACCTTGGGGGAGGCGAGCTTGAGAGTGGTGGTCTGCTTGACCGTCTTGTACGGCGAAGGCGCCAAGAGGGTGGACGCAAACACCACGCTCTGCTCCTCCAGCTGCGTTATCTCCTTCGGGAAGGCCGTCAGGACATCGGTATATACCGCCTTCACCTGGATTGGTGCACAGGGGGAGTAGGGTTTGCTTGAAGGCGGCATCGCCCAGCGTGTCATAATGTGGACTGATAGCACGTGAAGATGGCGTTGAACTGTCGTCACATGTTGAGCGGGGGGGGGATGTACTCATAGTCGTGCATGCCGTAGTCGTTAGACCATGGACCTCGCATCCCTACAAAGCCGGGACGGAGCACGCCGGGTTCTCACCGGACCAGGCTCTCACATCACCAAGCGCGAAGCGCCGTGAGATATTCGGCGAGTCGCATGAAGGGTGCGCTGCATCCTGCTAAGGGTGTTCGGCATCTTGTGCTTACTTCCTTGCGTACGGATGACAGCTGCGTATGACTTAATTTATTTTCTGGTGCTTTCACTTCCAGAGACAGTTGTAAGCACTGTGTAACTGCCTCGAGGGTGCTTGACCATTTTAACACAACGTGGTGCGATCATCCCCCTTGCGCGGAGTGAGGGTTCTCCACCCCGCACAACATGATCTACTCGACCACCATTATGGCTACCGCCAAAAAAAACAAAGGTGAAAAAAAAACGGTAACCTGGTTGCCGAGTTCACGAAGTAAATTGGCTTGTTTTACAACGTCGTTGCCAAGCGACGAAAACCCAATCCCGATGGCAAACACCAGGGGGTGAAAAAAGCCAACGAGGGTCCCGCAAGTACGGCCGACCATAGCGCAGGAAGCCAAGTGGGCTTTCGTCAAAAAAAAAAGTGGGCAGGGCATCGAATCCCCACCAGGCCAGGCCTTGGGGCTGTTCTCCGTGAGTCGGAAATGAGACAAGCATTCAGCGTTTCCGAGGACGAATCGGGGGCGAGATACGCGTTAAAATGTTAGTAGGAGCAATGCACGCTATCGAGTGCAGTGTGATGCAAGCGGCTTGAGCGGCCGTGTGGTCGATCCCTCGAGGAAGCGCGGGCAAGACACCAACGTGGGCGCCTTGGGCCGTGGAGTTGGGGTGGCGATGGAGTTGGGGGCGGTGATGGGGAAGCTACGCCCCTCCCTTCTAGTACGCGCCCTCTGGCAACATTGTGGTGCGGCGCTGGTTATAAATTTAAAGTTAAACATGCTGCTGTCCCGACACCAGTCGAACAGTGGACAAAGAACAAGTCGGCGGGCAAGTGTGATGCAGTCCTGGAGAACCGAAAGCCTCGTTCCCAAATGCCGCTTGTGTCAACACCAAACAGCGAAGAACAAAAACAACACGCTGGCGGCCGTTGTGATGCCGTCCTAGAACGTCCCGTATCTAGATACAGCTGTGGTCCGTGGGGGGGGCATGATATCTTCTATGGGCGTGGTACCTTTATTGCATACGGTACACTCACAGGACCCGCAGTGTCCCTCCTTGCTTTGTACGGCATGCGTAGATGAAACTGGATACCACATCCCATGTACAGATTTTGAAAGCTCGATTACTGTGCTCCCCGACGAAGAGGACGTGTATTGTGTCTCGACAACAAGCAGCAACGAACGAAAGAAGGAAGAACCCGGACAACGGCACCCACCGCTATCTTCACTTCTTCCTTGTTCTGGGGTAGCTCGACCGCCGCGGAGTAAAGCATCAGCCCCTCCCCCGCGCTATCTCTACCGGGAGACGGCGCATCAAGCTCAAACTCCAGCTCCGCCTTGTCCATGGTGACGCTCATGAAGGCCAAGTGATCTTGTGCATCGGCCGGGAGGGCGAACTTGTAGCTACCGCTGGTTCCCTTGACCGTGTAGGTTGTAACCACCTGGGGGCGGGGGGGGGGGGTTCATGTTTTGCACGCCTTAGAGTATACACCATTGACCACGCGTCCTCGAGAGGACGGAGCATGGGTCCCACAGGACAGATCACCGATGACCACTCACGGGGTCGAATGTTCCAGCTCAGATCGGTAACAACGAAGATTTGGGGCGTGTGCGTGGCTACCACAAACCAGCATCCACGGCCCGTGACTAGTTTCCAGACCTGTCCGATTAATCTCTGGATATTTTCTAGCTCGAACAGAAGGTTCACGGCCTGCCAATTAAAGAAGCGCCTGCTTTGGATGCAGGCGGTGGTCGCCAATGGCGTGGGTCACCTACATCGAGTAACTTTCAGACTTTGCGGCTATGACGAACAAGGAAAGCGACAGGAGCATATCCACAAGTGCATCGAACTTTGAGGGTCCACACTAAAACAACGAAGTATAAGAAACGCCACAGGAAACCACACCGGACGGTACCAACATTTTCTGTACGAGAGGAGAAGTGCTACCCGGGATACGTAAAATAACGCACACCCTGAGGGTTACCCGCACGAACCACCGTATGTGGCCCGCTTTCCTTTCTCGCCGGTGATAGACGGTGGACGAGATCACACACACCAAGTGCCGCACACAACGCCCCCGCCCCTTGTGGGGAGGACCACGCCTCGCGTCAGGCACCTCCCCTGCGTAGCCTTCGTTTCTCTTTGGATTAATCCCGTCCCCATCCTGGTACAGCAGCCTTGCGTTGCTGGTATTGCACTGCATCTTTGTTCTTGTTGTTGCCTTGTGGTCGCTGAGTAGGCTGCGCTCGTGCCGTACAGCGCACCGCAGAAGCTTTGCGTGGATTTGATGAGAGAGGAACGCTCGTTGTTCCACAGCGAGCTAAACTAGGGAAGCTCAATCTTCCAAGTCCAACAACATTTCTGTGTTCGCCGAGGGACAGGGATGACTATTGTTGATAGAGAGTGCTTTATTTCGTTTCATAGGGATTCTCGGTGTCCATGCTAGGGTTCAGGTGCACGTGAGATAACGTATGTGGCGTAAGATATCACACCCCCTGGGCAGATTTCAGAGCTCAGTTTCTCCACAGAGAAGAGTGGCGGTTTTGGCAATGGCAGCGTTGGAAGCCACCTCATCGAGATCATTCTGAAAACCTTTCGTGGGAGATGTGTATCGTTTTCGATGTGGAGTAGTTCGAGCTCTGAAAATCGGTCCACGGTGTACGATATCTCATGTCACCTATTGTACGGTGATAACATAAAGACATGGAACACGCATCCAATGTCCAGGTGCAAATCCAGGTGCTGCCGCCCCCCCCCTTCAAACCGCCCAGATTTTCTCAGCATCACCCCCCCTGGATATTGCTCACTCTCTCGATTACGACCGGCACTTAATCACCCGGTTCACCCAAGATATCACCCCCCCCACACAGAAACCACAACGGGTGACACGGACCGTTCCGGGTGTGGTTTCCCACGTCATACACGGTACCCCGCAGCCGTCGGCACGCCCACACGGACAAGCCGTTCAGGGCATGTTGAAAGGATACGAGTGCCTTGCACAGCGCGAGTGTGTATGGTAGAATATATAACAGTGCCGTGTGGCACAAGAGGTTTGGTGGTGCAAAAGGCGTTGCGTAGAGATGAGGCGCACTGTTCTGTCGTGCATGATCCACACCGTGGTGCAGCTCAGCGAAGCAGTCGCAGCTGGTGAATAGTTGCCGCTGTTGTCTGGCCTCCGGAGAGCACAAGCATCCTGTCGGGTCTGGTCTAATGCCGTGCAACTGTACAGATTTTTGGGTGATCCAATAGGGAGTACTGCTGCAGACTATTCATAGCCAAGTGTGCATGGTACGCGGAAGCATGTCTACTGCAACGGTCCTTACAGTAGTTCCCGCGGGGTAAGGCAGTTTGACCTTGGTACAGCACTACGGAGCAGCGGTGAGGCACAAGGAACAAGAATCACCGCAAATCCACCATCACCGCAGACGATCTCGTCGGGGAGAACGAGAGCAATTCCCCAATGCGGACATCAATCACACCTTGGCGAACTGCGTAGACACGTCGATCTTGCGCTGGACCTGGGTGTTCACCACCTCCGCTCGTCTCTCCGCACCGCCGGCGGCAGCGGCGGCTGTTGCCCCGCTCGCTACCAGTAAGATCGCCATCGCCACGCGGCCCGCCATCGTAGCTGTCGGCGTGCTTGCTCGCTGACTCGCCTAGCGTCCGTCAATGAGCACCGCTCTAGGAACCGTTGGTTGAGTTGGTTCCCGTGCACGAGGAGCCAAGCGCGCTCTGAGGACGCAGCAAACGAGCTCGGTACGGGGGCCGGCAGCCGAAAGGCAAGAGCAGCGGGGGCGACGCGAAATCATAACGGGTACCTCGTTTGTGGTGTACATAGGTTGCGTAAGACACCACGCCCCCCTGGACGCGTAAGTTTTATTTTTCAATCCTTGGTGCTGAGCACTCGGTCTGCTGCAGTAAACGCGGAGTGACGGAGCCGAAGTGGCGGGACCGCTTTGCCGAGAGATCTATAGCAAATCCATTCTTTGATTTTGGCATCTTCGTCGTCTTGGAGGAGTAATCGAGCTTTGAAAATCGATCGTCTTCTTCCGGAAGCAACGCCCCCCTCCCCCCTGCCCGCACCAACTGCTGTTAACTTCGACTTTGTTTCTCTATGCATGTACGTGTAGTTGTATCGCATTACTAGCCTAATTGCCATCAACCGTAGCTTTGTGCGTAGGATGATGTGTGAGGGGAACCGTCTTTCATGGCAAGGTGGAACGATTGAAGAAGTGTGGCGGGGTGGCGGGGCGGGGGACGTTCGTTGTTGTTGGGCACTTTTTTGTAGTCTGTTGGGGTCGGAGCGTTACAGAAGGAGTACGTGTAGTCTATACCCGTATATCATAGCAGCAGTAGTTCCGTCCCACACAGGAAGACATTGGCATCAAGGCGACCCACCTACTAAACATTCCATTATGGGATACCTCAAGCATTCCTGGTTTGTAAACGGTCGGAGGTGCACGAGTAACGCCCTACCGCGTTTCCAAGTTCCGCCAGGACCGATAACTCGCACGAAGGATAGACTACCAGATTCACTATGGAATGCAGAGGTCCAAGCTTGGCAGGCACGGGAACACTCCGGATCACGTCTGTGTCGCGATCCAACTCATCGCCGCTTGTCATGCCCAAGTGCAGTGCACATGCCTTGGAAAAGAGATCGCTGACGAGCTCACAAGGATCGTGTCTTGAGACCCACATGATGACCTATCATGGACGACAACATCGACCGGCAGAAATAAGAACAGTCGCAATGGCCCCGTTTCGTATGCTCCGGTTGGCCCGTTGGTCAACAACTTGTTCGTCGCGCGCCATCGGTTCCTGTCCATTCGCTACACCTTGCACCCTATAAAAAAAAATAGGTTTTAGATCCCAACTACATGCAACAATAACAATGTCAAAGAGATACATGGGCGAGCGTGGTTGTGTACCTTCGCAGCGATAAATGTAACAGGCGGGCCTCCACCCAACACAGGCGTGTCTTCTAGCACAGAATTTCCGAGAAGCGCAGATCAACGTCTCGTGTACGAGGAGGCAACTGTGTAGCGAGCGCTCACGACGCTACAACTTTCGAGGCTCCACACCGAAGAGCCCCTTGACAAACTCGTACGATCCGAACTGGATCGCGCCGCTCAGCACCGATCGCGCCATGCGAGGGTTGATGCCAGTCCACAGCGCCGAAAAGCTCTCCTCGCGGGAGATTGTCCCAAGCGCGCCAAGAACACCCCCTTCAGTTCCAAGCATGTCGGTGGGGAGGGGGTGGGTCATCATTCGGTTAGAGAAGGGCGTACTTCATCCGTGTGCTCCTGGTGGAAGACTTCGCTCATGCACGAAGTAAGCGCATAGGTGGAGGTCTCCTGTACTACCCGTCAAACAAGGCGAAAATCGGTCCGCATTGAAGCGGAGGAGACACATAAATAAAGACGGAGCTGCTAAATAGCTCTGTCGAGCAACAAATACCTTCGTAGCCCTCGTCGTCCGAAGATACGGTCATCACCCTCGTGCGTACGACATCTAAAGGAGTCGTGACGGCCTGCGCAGCAAGGCTTGCTCCAGACCCCAGCACGGCGGCCTCGATAGTGCTCAACTTCGCCCCGCCTTTGGCCTTCTTGGCGGATCGTTTAAGGACCCCGTAAACCTGTGGCGCCCCGGGGCGTAAGAGGTCCTACGTGGTGAGGACGCGGCTCGCTCCGACGGGACATGTGGAAAGTCCAAAGAGGTGGAACGCGACCCCTAAACAACCAAGAGATGAACACGAACTATCATTCATGGCCGTCGGAACTCGCAGTACGGCTGACTTGCCACTTTCTCGCAAGCTTCCTTGGAGAAGATAGAACAGTGGCGCTGTGCGTTACCATAGTAGCAGACCCTCCGTTCTAAACCTGAGGCGTGTTGCGATATCCCCGTCCCATCCGGGTCAAAAACTTTGTAAAACGCCACAAGGTTCTCCCGAGAAAAAACACAACATACGTCGTCACGTGTCGTCAAGCGAGGGTTGGAATCAACAACCGCACGCCCGAGACCACAGGAATCTCCGACGTCTCGGCAAGTCCCACATCCAACACGAGCCACATCCACTAGCCTCACCAAGAATTTGATAGCATCGGCCGGGAAGGCGTAGGCGATGTTGGAGGAGTAGCCCGTGTACAGCCCTCTCAGGCCTTCGTCGGCCAGGATGGACTTGGCCCCATCGAACCCAGCCCCGCTTCCGCTCGACAAGCCAGCCTGGGACCTGCGGGAAAAGCAATTGGTAGGGTTGATCCCTTCATCACATTCACCAAGTGCAAAATGGCTCCTGTATCTATTTTCGAACCACGTGCACCTGCCCCCTCTTGCAGTAGAAGCAACGGTCGCCTTTCAAGGAGGGAAGATCAAAAGGCACGAAGGAAACTCCGGCGGACAATACGATTCGGATAGTTGATACTTAACAGAAAGGAAGGAGCAAGGGAGCACACGACACAAAACGCCGCAATCGACCAAACTACGCGGTTGCCAAAGGCGGCACAGCTTGATATTGAAAACAGCAGGGGACGCGGCTACGCAGAGACTGGCTGCTGCCAAGACCTTGCTGAGCGACAACTCTCTCTTCACGTCTAGCGAGGAGACTGCACGTCTCCCAGCAGAAACAAACACGTGAACCTCCAGTTCCACCCACCCCATCGCCGCACCTGGTCTTGAGAAGCTCCGCTGGAGTGCGGATGCCCCAGTACGGAAACTGCGCTAGGCCCACTGCCGCGATAGTCGTAAGTTCTGCGTACTGTCCCCCCGATACGTTGCTGATCGCCGTGCTAAAAGCGTCCTTCGCCGAGAAAAATAGCGCGCCTGCGGGAATAAGTCCCCAGGTGGAAAACGAACGGATGGTCTGGTTCGGGTGCCGTTGACACTTGATCCGAAGCAACGAGTGTGCCTCCGCAAGAAGCGAATAGTGTGACAAGAATTTACCTGGCTTTGAGCCGCAGAGAGATAGTATGACGACGATAGCATCGGCACCAGGCTGCGGCGAGGTATGAAGTAGCAAATGTTTACAAATATTGTTGTTCGTCCAATACTCACTGGTACATGCTGACGTCCATTTTCCCATGCGAAATTCTGCACGGCCTTGAAAAAAAACGGCCTGGTCTTGAATACTTCATGGCACATGTGCCTCGCGGGAAAATACTCGAGTCCATCAAACAGCCTAGAAGCCTCTGTGCCCTGAAACATACACCATTAAAGGCACAGCCTAGAAGCCTCTCTGCCCTGAAACATAGTGAAAGGCAGAGCCTAGAAGACTCTCCACCCTGAAGCGTCCGAACATCCCACCTGAGGGTAGGCCTGCTAGCAAGGGGGGTAAGACGCCATCGTACAATCCGCGGAAAAGCTCGGGAGGTGAGCCATCTCGGGGTAGCTGCAGCCGAGTCTAGGTGGTACAACAGAAAAAAGACCGGCCAGGAAGGAACAAAATCGCCCCAAGAAGTTAGAGCCATGCATAACTTGACTGGAACCATAGACAAAGGGCGCTTCCATTCAAAGCGGCAGAAGGGTAGTAGCAGCGGCGGGGAAGAAGGGGTGACGAAGCTATTCAATCGCCCTTACGCGATGTTACTGTGCGTGTAAATGGTGAACCACGCCTATTTTTCATCCCTGCGCTGGAACTCGAATCATATCAAGCCAACACCGCCACGCAGGCATGATTCTGCCGAGATGGTGTTTTTATGGTCGAACAACCAACTGTCATAGAACCGATCTACAGATCAAAATCCCGGGGGGCACTCTCAAGACTCAAGACATCATCCCATTCAACCCGCCTCGTCCAAGGCCGTTGTCTTCCTAGGGGGGGTTGAAAGTGGACATCGAAAGGACCAGCCGCACGGACACACCGCTCGGTGGATTTTAGCTGGACCCCCAAGACATGGAGCAGCCAAGATAGCCACATGCAACAGTTGTCTACTGCTGTAGTGGCAAACCTCCAAGCCCGAGCGTTGTTGGTCGTACCGATGATGACCCCCCAAACTACATAGCAGATCTACGGCAGTGGTGGTCCCGATATTCCGACGTCATCTTTTGGTTGTCACGACAGTACACCGCAGTATGTCGGGACCCCACGACTACCGGTGTGCCGTATTTACGTATTTACTGCTGCTCAACAGCAGCGTTCTCATGTCTTCCTTGCAGGCAAACCACCTTTAGCGCACAACTCCTGTATTGCGATAGGCACACGTTATCGAGCTGGACAGACCTTAACGGTGTCAATGGGGTAGAGCAAGAGCTGCTTGGAGGTGGAAACAGCAGCTCCGGCCACCAGACCCGAGATGGCGCTTGAAGCTGCCGACTCCGACTCAGTGACCACGGCGGTTGGTGGTGGATGCTGGTATTCCGATTGTCCTGCTACGGCGGGAGCATTGCTGACCTCTGCCTTCTGTTCTGCTGCTGTTGTCCAGTGCGGCGAGAGTGAACGACACCAAGCAGTAGAGAGATAGAGGTGCCGGAGTTGGAAACATTTAGCGTCTTACCATCAGCTTGCCAGCTATCAAGGGTTGTTAGACTGAGTATAATGCAGGGTTCGGTACCTGACTTCAAAACTCACGAATTCACCATTGAGGCTCTGGTAACCACGACACCACTGTTCTTCACAGTGACATCTTCACGGATAGAACTGACCAAGTGCTATAGTCTACCAGAGGTGAACGTATCGGGGACGAACACTGGTGTCACTGCTGTAGTGTACCTCTGTTGTTGCAACATTCACACAAAAGGCCAGCGCTGACACACTGCTCCAGCAAGTCGTACGACACGCCGCTTCACCTCGTTCTCTCTCATGGACCGCTTGTCAACAAGCAGCCACAGAGACTTCTTCCGGAGAGTCCAGAGCTACAGCGGGCATACAAAACATCGGTGTAGTAGCTACGCCTCGGAGCAGCCGTTCCGTGTGCGTTCATACCGCGTAACAACCGACACGCCGGTCGTGAAACCGGCGCGCTTACTCCTCGACAACACGCCCTTTCGCGTCGCTTCTCTTCTCGCATCGGTGCTGCCGTCTCACCTGCGTTAGCCGCAGCTGAGCACGCAAGCAATGCAGCAGAGGAGGCCAGAAGCCCCCCGAGGAACTGTTCTCGACTTGTCGAGCCGGCACCCAGCGGTGATCTCGAGCGGCCGCCGACTCTGCGATTGCTACATGACTCCCCCTGTGACATAGACAGGGACCGCCGTTGTTGCAGCTTCACCCGTGATGTCGTCAACACGTCAGGGCGTGCGACGGCATGCAAGCCAAGTTGGACGTACGCATGTGCTACTGGCCACGCCAGGAAAATAGGAAGGGCCAATCCCCGGCAACAAACCATGAGATACGGCGATGGGCAACGGGCAACGAGCAACTGCAGACGGGCGGAAGAGGTAATATGCAACTGCTGTGTGGGTGCGGCGCAACCCACCCAGCAGATACCGTGCTGCTCAAGATACCACCTCCGGCCTGATATGAAATTTGACAACTTCGGGATCACTCGACGGCCAACAACAGACAACTACGTTTTTTCAAAGACTCTGTATAAGACAAAACACTGCAAATCGTCCGGTCCATCACTGCTGTTCTTGTTGCATGCATGCAGAGAAATCGAGCTCTTAGGCAATCGGATGGGGGAGTGCGGTCGTACTCGCCGCACACCTAGACGATCGTGATTGAAAGGCGTTTTGGGGTACGAGTTGGACAGCAGTCCTCCCAATTGCCGTTTTGGTCGTTTTTCTTCATCATACTGCTGTGCCATCCTGGCCCAATCTCAACACACCGTCGTGGCGTTACACTACCAGCAGGTGTGTCGGGTCGCCATAGCCTGCCCAGGTTGTAGGTCCTATTGGGCGTAGTCTGGTTCTCTAAAAAATCCCGGAGATCTGAAATCCAAGTTCTTTGTTCATTGGGCAACCCCCGAGCGGTTAACACGTTACATGGATATTTCCTGTGCCCCGTCTTCGATGAGAACTCCCCGAGCCGCCACCGCCACCATGTCAAACAAGCATCGTCGCGCGAGACATGACGATCCGCCACATGGGTTGTCTCGGCGAATGAACAACAACATTTACTCGTCTCTGGACGCCGAAGGAGGGACTTGGGACATCGCGCTCGCCAACTCAAGGAAGGCCATAGTTCACAACAGAGAGGTCAACAAGCGTCTTTCGTGGAATACATGAAGAATCAGTGCTGCCGTAAACGACTTCGGACTAGCTTCGCGGACCCATTTACTGAAGCATCATTTACGGGTGGAAGCCACGCAATCCACTCCTACAGCACTACAATAGACTGGTAGCAATCCATAAGCTATTAGGGTAAGACCACAGGTAAACAAACCCCTACGCGCTAGGGACGGCAAACAACAAAAAGAGGGGATGCATTCTCAAATGTGATTCTTGTACATGCGTGTCTGCCTGTCTCGGCGCCAAGGGTATGGCGAATCTCCCAAGTGAGAAAAACAACTTGGTCGTGTCCTCCACTATATATAAACATACCACATGTTTCTACGACCTCATTCGCTCTGCTTGTTTAATTAGGCCTTGTCACGCCGGAACTCTAACGAAAAGAAAGGTCACCGACTGCGCATGGGTCCCCATGAGCATCACACCACTTTCGCTAATGTTGCCCTGCGCATCGCGAACCCAATAATACATCACGGAGCGCACTGCTGGCGTAAAACAATGCTCCTCGGGGAGTTGCGGCCCACTTTTATTGCAGCTCACAGTGAGCAGTCCCACATCCCGATCGCAAAAAGAAAAACAAAACCTCTCATCATACCAAAGGTGTTCCACCAGAATTTACAGATTTTCGAAGCTACAATATGAACAATGTTTTAGAGGGGTGGGTTGAGGTTTGACAACGTGGTCTTCCTTCCCAGCACCCTGCCACAGAATCTGACAGTAGCCTCGCGCCATACCTGAGGCGCATCGTCTGCCTCGCCGTGTTGGTCACCACGACGTACTCAAAAAGGTGAAACGTGTCACATATGTCACATCAACAGGGCGTGCCATTATAGGTCGCCGTAGCAGGGCTATGGACGCCCACCTCAACTCGCGAGCCCATACCAAAAATGTTGGGAAAATAGTCAAAGAGCGCCAGGCACCGAACGGTGCGCGCACAAGTCATTACTTGCTCCACCCTGACTACAAGAGATATACCCACAATACACTCAAGGCGGCACGACAAGCACCAGACAGAGCGGCGGCCCTCAACACGCGGCGCGCTAATCAGCAATGAACTTATTTTTGTACTGGTAGACACATTGTGTCGTTTTTGTTCGGGACCCCATCTCAACCCCACACACATCCCGTCGACCATAGGCCATCCACAGACGAATGCCAAGCAGGTTCAGGGAAGAACGACCAGCAAACACGATATCAACACCTTCTTGGTTATTCCGATGAAATCTACAGGGTGGGAGAGTCCCAACAAATAGACGAAAAAAGAAGAAGACAAGAGCACCCAGTCGCCCCGATTTGCACCCCTTTCCCGCGTTGCCTCAATAATCGACCACCGGCAATGGCCGCCATGATTTCCGGCCGAAAAATGGACCTCTCTCTCTCTCTCTCTCTCTCTCTCTCTCTCTCTCTCTCTCTCT